CTTTTAATGAAGCACTTTTGATGTTTCTCTTGAAATTATCATGTTTTCTTTGGTTACAAAATCTGCTATTATTAACCAGTACACATAGTACATATTTATATATGTGCATGTGTATGCATACTTATGTGTTTGCATATTTTATCCAATATAATAAAAGGGTAATATGCAAATTGACCCTAATGACAGAACAACCACAACAACCGCTCAACTAGTCACTATGAGGTGCACTGACCACCTCTTGGTCCTTTCCTCTGGACAGCAGGCGCCGATTGCCTGATGGCAAACAAGGAACTGGGGGTGGGTAGTGGTGGGCCTCAGGGCTAGCTATGGGCAGCCATGAAAGATGGCTCTGATCGCAGGCCAGGCCTAGGGACTGTAGCTGTGCATAAATTTCGTGCACCAGGCCTCTAGTTATTTTATATATACATAACCAGCTTGTATGTGATTTTAGTGCTAATAAATACCACCAAAACTGGTTTGGAAGATTGTTCTGAAATTCCAAGTTAATTTCCTCTGTCTCCTAGATACCTATGAACTGGTTAGGTTTCTGAAATCACCAGTTCACAAGCAGACTTGGGTTCTAGGAAAAAGGGCTCAACTGGCCAGGGGTATACCATGTGCCTACCTAACCAACCAGCCCACCCACAGCCACCCATCTCTCAATTTACGGTCCCAGGGAGTCCTGACATGTCTCTTCCCATGTACCACTATTCATGAGACCAGTGGCTGCCAACCGGTAGTCCGTGCAGTCCGCAAGGTTGGCAACCACAAGTTTAAGGAGATCTTTGGAGCAGTGGTCACCAACTGGTGGTCCATGGACCACTGGTGGTCCATGAACTCCAAAAGGTTGGGGCACCAATGGAAAACCTTCGCAATGAGCACAAACACCAAAAACACTCTAGGGCAGCATTTCCCTAAGTGTATTTCTCAGAACACAAATCTCACAAGACACATATTTAAATAAATCCACATAAAATTAAAATACAGGTACTCCTTGGAGATTGAAACCACACAATAGCCTACCAAAGGTTCTGAAAGGCCTGCAGTTAATTAACTTTGTCTGACCTGACACTTCCCAAATTTATTTGACTTACTTTATATAATAACAATATATCCTTGCCAAAATGCACCTTGAGGAACTACTTCTCCAAGAAACTAAAAGATGTCTTTTAAAAAATCTTACAGTATAATTTCAAATCAATAATGAAGATACAAAACTTATTTTCCAGTATAAAGAAACTATTTGTTTTGCTCTGAATACTTTTCTATCAATACAAAAACAAAAACAAAAAAACAAAACAAAACAAAAAAAAACCATTCCCCTCTCTATTTAAAAACACCCAACTCAAAGTTACCCTTTCTTGTGTCATTGTTCAAGAATATTAATTCTTATCATTGGCCCCTTCATCTAGAACAAATCGCTGCTGTCTATTTTTGATTCTGAGATTACCTCTCCACCTCAGTCACAATAGTTTTAAGTCTAGGTCGGTAAACTGCATCCCAACTATAATACATCCCAACAAGAGTTTGGGCTAAATTATTTTGCAAATCCTTAAAAAAAAAAAAAAAACATGAAAACATTGAGATGTAAATTCCACAGAACTGAACAAAAAGAAAGGTAAAAGATATAATTCTTAACACCAACAACATATACAAAAGACCATCCTCACAACCCAAATTATACTCTGTGGCTGTGCTCAGGATTTCAATTAATAAATAAGAAAACCAAGACAAAGTCAATCACTAAATCCCTGTGAGCCCAAACAAAAAGCACGCAGGCCTGCTGCACCTTCTTCATTAGAGCGTGGCCCCCGTTCGTCTCCTAACTGTGCGTTAGAGAGGTAACACATGCAAAGCAAAGGACTACCACCTGGAGACACGGAACCGTTTTCAAAATATTTTATCCTCAAGAGTAAACCCAGGTACCACAGGAAGAAAAAGGTTAAAATGTTTGTCTTTTTTATGCCTTTTTCATACAAATCATAAAAGATGACAGTTGAGCCGCCAAAACCGGTTTGGCTCAGTGGTAGAGTATCAGTCTGCAGACTGAAGGGTCCCAGGTTCGATTCCGGTCAAGGGCATGTACATTGGTTGCGGGCATATCCCCAGTAGGGGGTGTACAAGAGGTAGCTGATCAATGTTTCTCTCTCATCAACGTTTCTAGCTCTCTATATCTCTCCCTTCCTCTCTGTAAAAAATCAATAAAATATATATTTAAAAAAAAAGATGACAGTTGATATGGGATCTTTATCACGTGGGAATTACCTGACAATGTTCTAATTACTATACCACAAACAAATATAAACACGAACATAGTCCCTTTTATATTCTCCTCCACCATCACCTCCAAAAGAAAGCAGGTCACAGCATTTTAAGACTATGGACCATTTAGCTTAACAAACTCAAATTTATACAAATCATATCCCGACAGGCTGATCACAAGTTCTCTGTCCAGTCTGGAAAGCTGATCCTAGTTGTGCAGCATCTCTGCGGTTGTTTGTGTTCAGTGATAGTTTCCTAATATCTCACTGGCTTAGACCAAAAGAGCTCAACTAAGTAAACCAACATATAAATTTTCACCTATCTAAACTACATTTTGCATCTTAGGAGAAGTAGTCTGGAAGCATCGTAACCTATACAGTATAAGGCTAAAGGCAGCACAGAGCAGGAATGACCAAAAGGAAATAAATCATACTTAGTCATCTTCTTTATTAAGAAAGCACAAATACTTGTTATTCTAAAATGATGTCTTTTGATTAAATTTTCAACATTATGAAACCTTACATATGCTCATCGGCTGCAGTCTGTATCGTAAGAACATGAGCTCCCACATTCTTATAATAACTTTCATTCATTTTTCTTATTCATGGCCATTAGTGGTCTTATTGACATAAAAACTTACATAGCCTAGTATTATCTCTTTACTTTGCCTATAGAGAAACTTGGAATTAAATTTACCATTCAATTTTATAATCTGTTAGAGTTGGTATAGCTCTTTTCTCTCACAAATTTTTTTTTAATTTTAATTTTTATTGTCCTGCTTTACATGAGTTTGACAATTGTAAGCCACTTTTCAAGTGCTTTTTGGAAGTTTTAATACAAATCATAATGAAAATGACAAACCCTGACAGAAGCATAAACAGATGTCAGGTCAATGTGCTAACCAACTCCTCCAACATACATCAGTCCTAGAGGACAGCACAAAGCCCTCTGGTCATGATTTCCAATAAAGAATATTCATATGGATTTCGGATTGCTAGAAACTAAAGAAGATTAATGCTTAATGTGTGTGCACTCACTCTCTCCCACCTGTTGCAAAACTTATATGAAATTCATTAGTTACTTTCCCTCAATGCATCCAAAGAGATGAACAAGATATTGAAGACCACCTTGTTTCTCACTTTCAAGAAGAAATATTTACAAGGACTTAAAGACTACTACATAAATAGCTACTGAAATACAGAGCAAATTGAGAGGATGAAGACCAAACACAGCTAAGCTCACATGAGACAAGTCTTGACTGCAAAGCTGTTTTCTTAGCCTGTGGGTTTCTGCAGGATGTGATAAGGTTTGCTGAGCACCATAGTAATCTTTTAAGACACTAATCAAACACATGGTCCTGTATTTTAAAAATCCCAGAAGTGGTTTTAGGACAACAGAAGCACCTCAGCCACTAAAATAAGATTCTATTATAAGTAAAATTACTTGCACAGCAAATCCTTTAACAATTCAGCATCCAATAAATAGAAAATATGCTTTAAAATGTACTGCTATTCCCAATTATTCCATTGGACCCTTCAACTATAGTTAAATTACATAAAAAAATAAGTAGTTGACATGAAACTTTTAACTATTGATACATGATATGCTTATTATGAAAGAGCACTGGAGTGAGCCAAGCATGATGAACTTGGACACATGTAGGTACTTCTGTTACTATAGTGGGGATCCTTTTCAGTAGTGCCTAAGAGAGGGGCAAGTTTCAATAAAACTACAGCCTGGCATAATAACGATGTGCAACACATTCAGTTCTCCTAAGATCAATTCCAGAAAGAGATGACCAGAGTTAAAGATATACTAAAATACAAAAGTCTGAAGTTGCCACATTCACCCAATAAACTAAAAGAGCCCTTACTAACATAGATTGAACATGTCAGCAAGTACTAATGTAATACTGAAGTGCATACAGTCAGATATATATTTATATAACCACTTTTAATATTTACATATGGTACTAACCCCCCCAAATGATTAGTCTTCTGAGAGCATACTTAAAAAGCACATTCTTCATTGCTTTTTATAATTAAATACAGGCTCTTCTATGGAAGTAAGTAGAATATTAGGATAACATATTTTTTTAACATCTAAAATAGGCATCAAATTCCTAAATAGAAGAAAAAAGTCTCGGCCATAGGACCACATATTAGTTATTCATACTGGTTTAAGAAAACAAATTAATAAATTAGCTTGAATAAATTAAGAGTGCACATTCAGAACAGAATTGTAGCTTTTGGTCAGCAATATGTGAACCACGTTTTAGCATAACAGAAGCACCTCAGCCACTAAAATAAGATTCTCTTATAAGTAATTTTTCCTTGCAAAAGGCAAAAATCTGCCAAGATTAAGACCGGTTGTTATTGTTTTTTAAATATATACAGTATATTATGTTTTCTTTTCCCCCCCAAGTTCATTTAGTATTTATTTTGGTGGTATTTAAAGTGCATTGCCAGCTAAAAGACAAGCTTCCTAATTTAAAAAAATAGATGTCACAGAAAGTTTCTCTTGCTTTAGAGTCTTCCTCATACCTATTAGCAGCATTTTCTTTTTGTTTCCACACAATTAGTATAAGAGATTACTGCAATGATCGTATGACTTTGGACACAAAGCAGGCTGTCTGTCAGGGTGATAGCCGCTGTAAGGATTCACTTTCTTCTTCTGCTGGAGTTAATTTAAGTGTTGGCAGTTTCCGAGGAGGAAGTTGAGGGCTTTGGCGAAGATTGTCATCCATCTGTGGAAAGCACAAAAGGTACATCTGACTAATGGCTGTGGCACCCCTTATGTGGACTGCGGCTCCTCATCCAAACTAATGTCTAGAAGAGTACAGAACCATATGTCTCTAAAACTGCCAGAAAACCTTTTTCTTGCAAATAATCTCTCAAGAATTCTAAATGTCATACCTCAAATACCAGCTGACTCAGTATATGTAAAAAAGCTATATAACTCATCTTTGGTGCTTTCATAATATTATAGTAAATCCACAAAATAAATGTCCTACTGAACTCAACCAGAGCATGACTTGGTTTAAGAGGACTTCTAATAGTAAAAGCAGTACTTCTGCTATTAAGCTCCACAGTTTACTCAGTTTGTACTCATACAATATCTCATTTGTTCTTCCAACATCATTGTGAAGGAAAAAAAAAACAGAAACAAACACTCCCTATTTTTATTTGAACAAAATGAATCTCAGAATGGTTAAGGAATTTGCCTTCAGTTGCAAAGCTAGTATCAGAGCTGACATTTGAACCTAAGTCTTCTAGAGAAACAAATTAATATGGAGCACATTGAAAACATGTCCATGAAAACATGTTCACACTTACCCTAAGGAATACATTAGCATCCCTGGAAACACTAGGAAAGGGATTATTTAGAACTGAGTCAGATCTTAGAAAACTGCCTTTAACCAGAGCCCCCTGCAAACAGGGCTCGAGATTTCAGTCCTGGTGCGGAGCGCACTATCAATTTCAATTTCAAAAAGACAACTGCAATCAAAGATTCAAAGCCAACAGAATATAGCATCTTTTTACCCACGTGATACGCATGTGTGTTTTTTTAGAGTTTTGAACAAAACTTCCCCTTATCTTCTCAAGATCCTCTTATAAAGCAGGGTACAAATGGTTCAGCAGAGGCATATGGGACTTGTAGGACAGGAAAGAGAATAAAAGATTAACTTTTAATTTGCCAATGAAAAGAATACCTCCAGTGAACTATTTGAATCAATTGTGTTAAGATGTCTTCTTTTCCTTGCCAAAACTAAATTCCTGAAACAGAACTCCTAAAAAAAAAAAAAAAAAAAAAACTAAAAAAAAAAAACCTCTAGATTTTCTGTCCAAACAGTAAGCAATAGTAGCCATTAGGATTTGTTGCTCTAATGGCTTATAGCAAGTAGGGAAGTGAAGTGAACTGAACAGCAGGTATAAAGGGATGGAGCAGTGCTGAAATAGGGTCAGAAAACTTTCATATATTGATGATGACCACGATGAAGTATACATGAATTTGCCCCCTATAGAAAAATGGAAACTATACTGGACAGCATTCATTTAGCAGATAAGTGTCTATAATAGTTTCAGTAATCTTTCCATTATCCATACTTAACACAATATATTTCCTCTCATGAGAGTTACTGATTTGGACAAAGAATTAAAACAAATGAGGCTTTTACTTAGCTTACCCAAACTTTATTAATGAACTCTTACAATTTTACTGCTCTGTTTTACTCACTTCTCAAGTTCTAACACATAAAATACAATAAAAAGAAACAGAACTGTCATTCTAGAGAGTGGCAGTTATAAACCTAGTATTACTACTAATAGATACATAATCTCATCTGTGAGTTAGTGGCTGACTACAAAGCCCATGCTAAATTCCAATTTCTAGGATTCAAATAACCTTTCTAACTCTTGTCATCTGAATGACCTTGGGCAGGTAACATAAACTACTCTTGAAGCTTCAGTATCTTCATCTGTAAAGTGAGAATGACAGAGGACTTGTACACATTAAATGTACAGATTAAATAAGATAATCATATAAAACTAATACAACATAGTGTCTCTTACTGCTAGCCAGTGTTATTAGGGTACACTGCCCCATTAGTTTATGAAAGAATTAGGTAGTATCCATTTGTTTAAGGATAAAAGCAAGTTTATCAGACACTTGCAAGAGGAGTGGAAGAAGTAGAAATGCATAACTCTCTTGTAATTTCCCAATTAGAATCGCTCTTGGAATTTTCATTGTTGGCTCTCTTGCCTACCCAGTTCCTCAATTTCTCTCTTACCAAATGATACCCCAAAATGGTAAAATATCCACACTGATAAAAAAAAAAATTGTGGATCACATTTAGAACAGAGAAGGACAGGACGGAGAAAATATAAAGCAGTCCATGTGGAAGAAAGAACATGACATCATAATACAATTAACAAGAAAGGATAAGCACAGATGCTTCCAATCTCAAGAAATATTAACTTAGAGACAAGCAAACAAGCAAGCAAGAAGTATTTCTGTCTTTTTTTTAAACCAGGCTTTTGGTCTCCTAATTTGAAAAATACTAATTGTATGGTAAAAGTAAACCAAATACCATCATCATATCTTTCCCTAAAGTTATCAGGCCACTTCTGACTTCAAAATACTATATTATACTATATAACTTTAGTAAATATATATTTAAACAGCTTTCTGAAAAAAAATTAACTCTTTTTAAAGGTAAAGTTAATTCATAACCCAAATTACAATATTAACTACAGAAAGGGAAATACTAAATTACTACTTTAAAAAACGATTGAAGTAAACTTGACCTTTTCAATCAAGTTGGATTCCTTATTTACAAGCTGTGTGAGTTTCTGCAGATTTGCATCTACCGTTTCTTGTCCAGCAGGAGAGATGCCTAAGAAGCCAGGGACAGAAATCAGAAAGACAAGAAAATTTGAAAGCCTTTAAAGCTGTTTAGATGAAAAGAATTTTGAATCTATCCACCCTCCCAAGTGGCCCACCCTCCAAAAAAAAAAAAAAAGGCAGAGAAAAACCATTCTGCATTCAAAGGCAAACTTAAGTGGGAAAGCAATGCTCCAAAACCAAACCGTAAACAAAAGGACTAAATTTGTCCACAGAGTAGACAAAGCAACAAAGTTGGCCAAGTGGGTTGCAGCTAGCCAAAGTAATTAGTAAAAAAGCATAGCACTCCTCATTTCCTTCTCAGATTTAAGTAATGCCTTTCTCCTAACCATTCCAAATATGTTTTTAGTTACAACTATTTGGATAGCTTTGTAAGGCAGTGAACTCCAAACAGGTATCCATCCACCTGACTCCCGAAGTATTTGGAGGCACTTAAAAAAGAATACAGATTCCTGGGACCTATCCCTAAGAAACTCTAATATGGTAAATCTGACAGATGACCCAAGCTTTTGATTTGTCCTGTGGACAGATCTGCCAAACACTGCTTCAAAATAACAAAGGTGCCAGGCCAGCTGTGGCTCAGTGGTTGAGCATTGACCTATGAACCAGAAGGTCATGGTTTCATTCCTAGTCAGGGCATATCGGCTCGATCCCCAATGTGGGGCGTGCAGGAGGCAGCTGATCAATGATTCTCTCATCATTCTTTCTTTTTCTCTTTCTCTCCCTCTCCCTTCCTCTCTGAAATCAACAAATATATATATTTTTTAAAAAGGACAATTTCTTCCAAGTCTCCCAATACAAATTTAGTATCCCAATCACGTAAGCATAAGGCCTTACACTCCTAACAAATTATTTCCTAAATGACAGGTGCCCTCCCTCTGTTTACTATACCTCCAGTCTGATGCAATCAGTTTTCAAGTAGTAGAATCATAGGGGTATACCTCACCAAAATCAATCTGCTACTGATTTCTGTTCACACAGGAAACTGCTAGAAGCAACATTTAAAGTAATTGCCCATTTGCATTAGGAAAAATGCTATCTAAAAACACCTCAATAAATATCTATAGTTTAAACTTTTTGAAGAAAATTACCCACTTCAAAGGGGCAATATTTAAAGAAGAACAAGAAGCAAGCAATGTATAAAATCCAAAAGAATAGGAAAAAAGGCAAATATTCATTCCTATTTAAATAAGAAAATATGGGAATAAAAATAAAGTTGGAGAAATGCAACTTTTTGAAGAGCTATAAACCAGCATTTAAAGACAGTACACAAATTTCTTTAATAAGTAATGAATCTTACTTATGTGTCCTTAGGATAATTTGTAGATATTCTATTCAAAGATTAGCTGAAGAGGAGCCACCTTACCTCCAAGACTAAGCCTAAAATAAGTGTTTAGGATGTCATCACAAAAGCGACACAGGTTGGAGAGCTGTTTCAAATGTTCTTGTAACTGAACTTTAGGGAAGCGTACTTTATAAAGAGGTGCGAGAAAACCAAACACATAGGCATCCAAGGTAGAAGGCCTAAAAATAAATTCAAGATTTTTTAAAATCACATAAGAAAATATTAACTTGGGATTATAAAAAAAAAAAATTCTCAAATATATTAATAAATTCTGAAGTATGCAATTCAGTGTTTTAAAAGGTTTACTATCCATTATAACGTATAATAATGATGCAAGTAGAATTTTACTCAGTTATTTTTTAATCCTCTAACCATTTATTTTATTTAGAAGAAAATTCAGTTGCAAATTAAAATGCATTTTTACTCATGAGTATTATATAGTAGCTGGAGGCAGGATGGAAACCGTCTTAGATGTTTTCAATACACACATGCAGTATATTAAGTCAATGTTAGATTACCACCAACAGAAGGTTTCCCCAGAGTAAAAATCCACTAAGTGTTTTTAAAGTGAAAAACTCACTTTTGGGAGAGTGGGAAGACAAGAGGACTTGCTTTAAATAATTGCTCATTGAATATATGTACATAAAACATCACAATGATTTTTAAGAGAATGCACTCACGTATCTCCAAAGAAAAACTGAGATGTTCCCAATCTGTTTGACAGAAGATTTAGGCACTCCTTGGCATCTCTGTATATCTAATAAGGATGACATTACATCTCAGAAGTAGGACAAATACTGTAGAACTCCTTTTTAGGTAGGTATCTATGGATTAGTTCATCTCTGCTCTCTCTCTTATCCCTCCTCAGAAGGACCCTAGCTCTGACAGTAATCTCGATCATACCTGTGCTTCCACTTCTTGGAGATGGTAGAGGGGAGGCTCTCCTCTGGTCAGGAGAATCCTAGTCAGTGCTCCCTTAGACATTCTTCCAGGAAGGATCAAACTCAAGGGAAAGGGGATTCGTGAAGCAAACCATGGCTTTGTCACAGTAAAGTAATTGTCACTCTCAACCCAGAATGTGTGAAGCTGCAAAAGAAGAGAAAAAACACTATAATTATGTTCTTTAATTAAAAGATCCCTCTATTGATGTGCACGTATTTCATAAATATATTCGTATAAAATGACTTCATACAAATTTTCCAGTTAGAACATTCAAGGGTTAAACAAAATTTTAAATGTGAGTTTTGTTGGTTACTATATCTCAGGCACCCAGAACCAAGCCTATTACATAGTAGATGCTCAATAGATATTTGCTGAATGAATGGATTATAGTTCACCCAATTATATATCTGGAACAACAAACTCCACTTCCCATAAAGAATTTTTATTTCCAAAATGACATTTTTCACTTTATTGTTTTGCATACCAGCTGAATGTCTAACAGAATCCAGTTTCGCAGGAACATGAAAGAATCAAGGTTAATACATAAGTGAAATTTCCTTTCGTAAGCCCTTTTCATTATTTTTCTTCAAAACAGACTAAATGCATTTTTGGTAGATCATTAAAATATTGTAATAATCACCAATGCTCACCACTGCAGGAAGAAGCTTCTCTTCAAGGAGAGCAATGTAAGCCAGGGTATCTGCCCCTTGTCTTGCTGAGAGTTCATAATCAGCATTATATTTCTATTAAAAAATGTAAAATAAACAAAACACCTCAGACGTGAAGAGCATCCCCAAATAGTAAAGCTAAATAAACTAGGATTCCTTTTTATTCTTCCACAAAAATGGTAAACATATTAAAAGGGGGGAAAAGAAATACAAATTTAGTAACAATGCTATTTAATGCAAATGTACAGTATCATGCACACAGTAAAGTCAATAACTTATGATTTGTTATTCACTACTACTATTTCAGTAATTGTTAATGACCAGTTTAGTACCAACTTATTAAAAGAAGCAATTATTATTTTTGTTAACAGTAAGGATAAAGTTCTAACTGGTTACATTTTTCCCCAATGAAAAAAGGAAAACTTCCAATTTAGAAAAATTCTAAATTTTGTTGCTGTGAGATTTCTTTAAAAGAAAAAAAAAAAATGGCCCTGGTTCATGTAGCTAGTTGTCCCATACACCAAATGGCAAGTTCAATTCCCAGGCAGGGCATATACCCAGGTTGCCAGGTTAGGGGTTCAATCCCTAAGAGGGGTGCATGTGGAAGGCAGACAATCAATACTTCTCTCTCACATTGTTGTTTCTTTCTTTTTCTCTCTCTTCCATATCCACCTCTCTTCCTCCCCCCCCCCGCCCCAAAAAAAGAAAAAAAATCACTAGAAAAAATTTAAAGTATTGGCAAAAAGAATAGCTTTTGCATTTATGTTTTAACATATTTATACATTTTTAACACATTATAAAAATCTTTACATGTTCAAATATCTTGAATACAGTATTGAATGAAACATTTAACTGTAACTATCAGTTAAGTGTTTTTTGAAAACTAAAATAGTTTCTAGTTGATGGGACTTCAAATGTCATACCTAGCATAAAATGTGTAGCAAGTATGTAACTAAATTACAATCATGTCAATAAGTATAATAGCTAAGATGGCTAAATTGAATCTGCTTATTATCTAAACTTTAAAAAAAAATCCAACAAAAGTATATGAAAATATAAGTGGACTATACCTCACTTTATAACTTTTAAATCTCAGTATAACTCATAACTTGAAAGTCTTTTTTTATTAAACTCCAGGTATCTCAGGTGTCTACTAACTTGGGGGGGAAAAAAATTTAAATCTGCAAACCTTATGTGTTTTTTTAAAGCAACATGCAGAGATCAACAATCTACTTCTTCAAAAAGAACCACCCACCTGTTTTCTTAAAAAGTTCAGTATTTTTGCTGGCTGACAAACAATCTTGTCTTCAGTGGTCAAAATTGGTACATCTCCTATAAAAATAATAATAATAATAAAAACAGTCTACTTACAAGGAAACATTTTGATCTCCTCTTAAGATATTCCAATACTCTAAAAACTGTACCAATTGAACATTTGGAGGGGGAAATTGAGTAAGCTCATCTTAGTTTTTTACAATTTCACAAAGAGCAGTTGGATAGAACATTTTCATTTCTCATCATTTCCACTGATTTCGCTGGCACTTTTAAGTATTATTCAGAATGGTCAAATCATAAGCAAAACACAGCCAAGGTCATGACCAAAAAAAAACAAAAAAACCTAAAATCCCAAGGTACTCCATGGCTGTATGCCTCAGCGCTTTAGGGGGGGAGAGGGGAGGACAGAGGGGCGGGGGCTTAAAGAAGGTAGAAGGCTGTTAAAAGTTTACACTGTACCTCTTGAACCTCTCCAGGTGTTATCTATGACACTGACTTTCAAGGGTGCGCCAGAAAACTTGGCGTAAGCCTGAAACAGAGTTTACAATAAAACATTTTAGACTGAGTACGTCATGCAGATCCGCAGAGCTGCTTTACTGCACAGCAGGGTTGCGAACACAGAACCTCTGGACCAGGGGGCGCGTCCACGCGCAGCAGCCCGGCTTTCGGGAACCGTGTTCTTTCCCAAAGGATGCGGCGGGGCGAGGGGGGCCGGGAGGGGGGCGGGGGAAGGTGCGGCGCGGCCCACTTCGGGCTTTCACTCCCCGCCCAGATAGCTTTGCAAGGATGGGAGTAATCACTCGGGAGCCGGGAGGAGAAGGGGAGGCCTCCCCCACGCCTCGGTGGGGTCACGGGCCAGATGTAACTCAGCTGCAGGGAGCCCGGGCGGGGCAGTGCCTGCTCCTCAGCCCGCAGGGAACGCCGCCGGCTTCGCGCCTCTGGCCCCGCCCCTTCCTGCCCGCCCAGCGGCCTCACCATCACCACCAAGGACTCGCTGTGGACCGACGGGAGCCCCCAGCCCCCTCCCCAGCAGCTGAGTTCCAAGGGGGCCGCCATCTTGCAGGGGCCAACCTCTCCTGTCCCGGAAGTGCTTCTGCCGCCCAACTTCCGGCAGGTGAAAGAGAGGGGCGGGGCGAGGAGGGAAAGGGTCCCTTGGGCTGTGGAGAGGTGCGGGAAGGGCCCCTGGAGGGTTGGAAGCTCGCTTAGAATCAGCTTGGTCTAGGGGTTAGGAGTCCTGGGCCTTCACTCTGACCCATCATTCCTTCTGTGAACATTTACTGGCTGTATCCTGATGTATCCCAAACCCTTTGAACCTTACTACCCTGGGCCTAGACTAACCTGTTTGTAAAATAGGTAAAACCGCTTATTCATAAGAGTGTTGTGTTTAAAATTATGACAGAGGGGAAAGAAATGTGGCATACAGTAGGCACTGGATAATTGCTCAACCCCTTCACCCATATATTTGGCCTCTGCCTCTTTCCACACTCAATCAATTATGTCATCCTCATGTTAATTTGCTCCACCCTCCTGGAAAGTAACCCTGTTCCTGAAATTTGTCAGGTGAATTCTGCCTTATTTCAGGATGAAGTATGTTTGTTTTTTTGCCATTGCTCCCTCAAAAAGGAGTTTAACTGTCACTTTCCCAGGGATGATTTTACAAAGTTAGTGACTTCTAGGTTCCTGCAGCCCCTTGTACATATTTCAGTTGTAGCTTCTATCCCTAGATATAGACCTTTTGCTTTTCACCTCAGGAAGCTCTTTGAAGACGGGACAAGGCAGGCTTCATACTATTATAGTAGAAGTGAGACCTGTGCATTCACTTCTGTGCTTAAAAGGACCCACCTTCCTTAATATTCTACTGTCATCATGATATTTTTAATAATTTTTGAAAAAGGGACTCTGCATTTTTATTTTCAACTGGGCCCTGCAAATCACATAGCCAGTTATGTCTGTGAACCTCATGGGCATGAACTAAATGTTTCTGTAATATAAACTAACAATTCCTCAAAAAATTGTTAAAAAGAGAAGATAGGTCTTAAGAATGCCATGATCCTAACATGTTTATGGGGTCCTGGAGTTAGGACTTGGATGCTACATCTTTTTTGCTAGAAAGCACAGAAGTCTTTACAGAATACCCTCCCAGTCATTCCTCTCATTTTTCTTCCTTACCTCTGCCCAGCTGAGATAGATGGGTCCCTTAAACAATTGAGAGCACAAAACAAACCTTTGCAAATTTTCATAAAGTTATAATTCAGCAAATAATTGTAGGCACTCCCTTACTGTTTACATATCCATCTAAATTACAGTGTCAGTCTGCTAAAACTTTTTGTCATGTTTCAAGGAATTCTCAGAAATAGGAAGGAAAAAATATGTCTAATTGGAAATACATTAGTAATATGGTGTAATTAGGAGGTGGTTATATATGTATTATTAAAACTAAGTATCAAAACATTTATTGTGCAACTACTGTGACCAAGACACTGTAAGGCTCTGGGAGAATACAGAGATAAATAAGTCACCAGTTCTATCCTCAGGAGTTTATAGTCTACAAAAGAGACATGCAACTAGGTGTAACAAGTCATGATATCATGAGTAAAGTTAGAGATATAAATAAAATTTTATGAAAGCACAAAATAGGAATGATGCCTCCACTGTGAGACTAGTGGAGGCTCTCTCTTCTGTTTTCAGTAAACAGAAGGCAATCCAACTTTCAGATACAAGTAATGGGATGTCCCTGTTTTGAAGGTCAAAATTCCAAGCCATAAAATTCAGAATTCATGTATTACAATCAGGCATTTTAAATATCATACACAAAATGTGGCTTCCCTGAGTCTTGTTTATAGAGTGGAGGGGGGTGGAAATGGATGCACATTCCTTGTGGACACATAATTCCTCAGTTCAACATTCTTCCTTATTGATGCTGTTACATATGTCAACTTCATTTGTTTTAAAGGAAAATTAAGTTTCTTCTCTTAGCATTAAATTAAGACAGAGAATAGCATGCTGTTGCACCTAATAAGAGAATCCTTCTTACAGGTTTATTTGTGCCTGTTAATAGCAGTCTTTTATTGCTGCAGTTCCTTTTGAGGGTCTATATTTGCTAGATTAAAGTTAAAACCAGAGTGCTGTTGATTTCACAACCAGGTTGAATATTGTTCCAGAGAACCACACAGAAAGCCGAAACCTTCAGGAATGATGCCTGGTATGGGTAGTTGGCCCCTGTGTCTTTTTCTGGCTGCTAAAGAGTACTGTTCAGAGTTCATCAAAATCATTTCAGATTTCTGCCAGGAAGCATACTATCTGCAAAACATCCATGTATGAGTGGGATGACCTGAATCACAGCTTTTTAATGAATATTCCAGACAATGTTTTCCCTGCAAAAGAATTATTATTTTTCAAGAGATGGACAATAAAAATGATTGCATGTAGTCATAGTCATCTAAACTCAGGAGAACTGACCGTGGCTTTTATTCCTACCCCTCATGTATTTCTTAACTTGGGAGCCATGGTGCAGGTTCTACGAGGACCTATTTATCTGGGTGATTAAGCATCTGTGAAATGGTGCTATCGTAAAGTGACCAGACGTCCCACTTTTGGCGGGACAGTCCCAATTTTTAACAATTTGTCCCAAGTCCCAAGTCCCACGGCATTTTAAAAAAGTCCCAATTTTTGGAAAGAATTGCTAAGGAACAGAGGAAGAACAGAAAGGGAATATATGGTTTTTAGCAGCCATGTGGCTATTTAGCTAGGATATGAGTTTTATATTATTTTTGTTAATTTTATAATGTTAAACTTTAATAATAACAAATAATTGTTGAGAACTGATTATCGAGAACTACTTATCAAAGTTCGCATTGTTGACCAGTTGTTAGAATTCGACCACCATTGTTTGGACTTAATGAACAATGGCATTTTTGGGGATTGGCAACGATGAAAACATTTTGTAACTGTCTCTCAGACGATACACATCGTACTGCGTGCTAGTAAGCTAGTTAAACAAGTGATGTCATTACAAACCAGCTATTCAGATAATTTAGGTAAGTTATTAATTTCATAAATACATAAATTTTCTTGAATTTAACAGACAATACTCATATTATTTATATTTTATAGTGGCAGCAAAAAGTCTAGCACCGGCCTTGAAAGTGACACTTAACGACTATAGGTGATAAAACCAAGATGTAAATCCAGCCAGTCTGCGCTTATACTCTTAACAACTATATCATACTGCCTATAGACTTCTATGTAATTCATTAAAAATCCTAGTTTCACTAAAATTGGAGTTATCAATGCCATAATATTTCCATTATTATGTGTTTTAGTAGTATTAAGCCATTAAACAAGTTCACTAAGCAACTTCTGTATTTGCAGCACACTGTAGGCTATTAGGGAATAAAAACTCATGTTCATAGTTGATAAAACAAGGCCTTCATATTTGAAGTAACTGTGGGTAGTTGGGAGGTACCATTTTGTCAAGCAGATCCCAAGTGCAGTGTGGTTTTAGACAAAGGCTTTCATGTGCTGCAATGCTTGGCAAAAACCTAGTGGGCGAATAAGGACTTTAGCTGATCTTGAAGGATGGGTACATTGGATTTAAATTGGCACAGAAGAAGGCATTCCACAGGGACTACACTGCATGAGCCAAAGCACAAGATGGAATGACTATGGGAAAGAATCTGAAGATAAGTAAATGGATGCTGGATTCAATAAAAAATTTTGAGAATGATCAGAAAAACTGTTGATTGATTAACCTGAGAACCAGAGGTGGTGATAATGGATGGCTTGGGGTTATGAGTTTTGAGAAGGTAAAAAAGAAGAAAAAACATCCTAATATAATATTAATGGATTCACATTTTCATAGATGAAAGATAGAATGCTATTGTTGCATAGACAATATGAACCCATAAATTGTATTAAATTAAGCAAAATGTGGTAAATGAAGAAATGCTGCATAGTGTTAGAAGAAAGTTACTTGGCGCCCTTGCATTGAGCATTTTTCATTGACTAGGTTGTTATAAATCAAACTGTAAAGGATCCCATAGCTACTCCCCACTCCAGGGGGAAAAAAAAAAAGAACTGCAAGGGATTACTTGAGAAATTGGTATTAGGAATAGGGATGGTGTAAGATCATGAGAAATATGACACAGATAAAGGAAGTAAAGATAATTGACAGGAACAGAAGATCCAAAATAAAGTTTTTGCAGGAGATGACAGAGTAAATCTACATACATTGAAGGCAAAATTGGCTACTTGTGGACAAAAGCCTTAAAATGCCAGAAAGAATAAGGATGGGATCCTAGAAATTACCCTGCAAGTTAAAAGGCTGAGATCAGTAGCATGAGCAGTGGAGCTGGCATTGAAAAGGAGAGACATGCTTTCTCTCTGACACTGGAGGAAGTTTCCAGGGGAGCATGGGATGCTGAGTTAGCTCAAATCAGTTACCTTCACATTTCCCTGTTACATTAGGAAAACTTTTAAAAAGCCTGAGAGAGAGAGAGAGATTTGGGCTCTGAAAGAGAGAGAATAATTTAGAGAATGTGCCAGGGAGTTAGTAAAAAATGAGTGGAAGAATTGCTGACGGTGGCAAAGGTTAAATTTAAATTAGTATGAAGGAGATAAATCAAGTGAGAACTATATCTGTTTGAAAGGGTACCTAATTATTAGCCTATAGGCAGGCTAATAATTAGGTACCCTTTCAAACAGATATTCTTTAAATATTTATTCAACCTTTTTAAAAAATGGAAATGAAGTTAGCAGAATGTAACAGGATCAATTTACATTTTACCAATCCTGTCTGTTAGAAGTTCTATGTGGTGACCTAGGCTTAGTATCTCTTAAAATTGGGTCCTGAGAACAATGTAGGGAAGAGGGAGGAAAAGGTCCTAGGAATTGACAGAGATGGAATCTATAACTTCAGCAATGGGGCTCTGCCATCTGTAAGTCTAACTAAGGTAGCACAGTTGTGTAGAGTCCTATGGTACTATGCTGTCCAGAAGTTTAAGTGGGGAGCCAGGTTCATTTATTCATTTGGTATCAATGTTATCAGGCAGTGATAT